CGTAACTGGTTCTTAATTTTTGGAAATAAATAAAAGTCGCAAGGTGCCAGGTGCCATGTACGCGGAATGGCTCATAAGGTCAACGTTGTTCACCTTCAAAAATTCATTTGTCTGTCTGTTTGCGTGTGACAACTGGCATTAACTTGGTGCAAGATGATACGGCGTTTACGGTTATTTTTACGGAGTTGTCAATAACTTTCGGCAAACAAATGGTCGTGTACCAATCACTATTCACGGTACAACGATTCTCCAAAGCAACAGCAGCCACGTGTCCAGTTTTATTTAAAAAAGTAGCAATGTTCCGCTTAGAGGCACTTTGCACGCGCGCCACTTTGGTTGGTTTCGGCTCATCTCGAAAGACCCATACGCTCGATTGCGGCTTTGTTTTGGAATTGTAACTATAAATCCATGGTTCGTCACTTATTACTATTTCCCACACCAAATTTGTCGGCCCTTCGTTGAATCTGGTAAGCATGGCATTGCACCAAGTGACGCGATCCCTTTTTTGAGCCTCTCTCAAATTGTGTGGGATCCACCGAGAGCACAGCGTTTTCACACCTAAATATTTGTGTAGTATTTATTGTATTTAACTCATGCCTAAAGATGCCCGAATCTCATGGTATGTCACTTGCCTGTCTGTTGTGATCTTACGACACACAGCATCGATGTTTTTGTTGTTCACAGCAGTGGACAGGCGACCATCACGAAATTCGTAACTGAGATGCACATGACCGCGTTTGAATTCTGCAAACTAGCTACAAATAGTCGTTTTGCATGGTGCTCCATCGCGAAAAGCAGTTTGAAGCCGAGTGAAGCTCCGCTGAGCTATTAAATTACACTTAAATTCGTAGAAAATCAAACTATGAAAATTTTCACGAGTTAAATCCATGGTGATGTAGACAACCAATTTGTAAAATGACGCCACAATGTAAGAACAAGTGACAGATGAAATAAGAAACAGATGAAACAAACTGTATTCTACAGCCAAAGAGTTCCATTTTCAAATGCTTGTTGTTCCATTTTCAATTGTTTATGAAAGTGGCCAGTTCCGGAAACTTATAACGCGCCCTATGTACATTTGTTGTTGTTGTATTTACAAACCAACGACTTTACCACCTCATTCAACCGTGACCATGGGAACTGTAAAGAGCCCGAAACGTTAGTTTGTTTGAAAAAACAAATGCACATGATTTAAATACCGGAAAAATAGTTCCATTTCCTATGTGTAACAATCGGGAAAACCTAAGAACCCGGCTAGTGAATATATATATATATTCTTAATAGGCCACTATGTCATAGTTACCCAATGTTGATAGGTTTACTTTACAAAAGGGTGTTCCTGCCGGATAAATAGGTTCCTCGTCGGCTCCTGCAAGAGACCAATTGGATATAAAGCTTGTATCTTTGTGCCAAGTGTACACCATTTGCGTCAAATATTATGGAGAAAGTCGTCTAAGTTTAGGTGTTTAGTGGATTTATAATATCCCAAAAAACTCAGACTTAATACAATTTACAAAAAGTTACACCAGAAGCCAGGAGACGGTGTTGTCTTATCAATTGTTTTTTTTTCAAATTTTATTAGTACAATTGACTATTTTCGGAGAACAAGCACGCTAATTATTAACTTCTTTTGTAATATACGAATTATCAATAACCCATTTACTTCCCACAGCTGGGTGCTAGTCAGATATATTTGCATATAAAGCAAAATCAATTGCACATACTAAAATTGTGTTTGTGTTTGCCTATAGTTAGGGTTATAGAAGAAATTCCATTTAAAAAAATCACAATTATCAAAAAATTTATATTTTTCTGAATATATTTCCTATGTCGCACCCCTCATGGAAGAATGGCATAAGTGGAGTTACGTCATACATGTTTATTATTCCATCACATACAGAAAAATATAACCCACATCCTCTCCCAATTCTTGTAACTCTATCGGCTAATATTGTAGATTATATATAGAGTTACAAGAATTGGGAGAGGATACGGTTTATATTTTTAACCGACTTCAAAAAAGGAGGAGGTTCTCATTTCGACTGTATGTTCTTTTTTTTTGTATGTATGTTACGCGATAACTCCGGTATTTGTGAACCGATTTTCATGATTCTTTTTTTGTTGGAAAGGGGGTATTTCCATAGTGGTCCCATTTCATTTTGAAGAAAATCATCCACCTCAAAGGATGGCTGTTCACGCATGAAGATTCATTGTTATAAATAGCGTCTAACTTTAATTTAGGAGCAATTACTTTTAGCAATTATTTAGTTGATTTTGCTATTTCTCCAATTCAAGGCATTTTTCCCTCGATATACTTTGAGTAGTGTCGTAGTGAGAACCTATTTTTATTATCTCCAGTATCAAGTCCTGTATAGTGGCGAACTATGGCGGTTTCATTGAAATATCCCCATATTTCAATGAAACTTAGCAAATAGACGTAATTCCACGTACTTTTGAGGTCGGTTTTTTTAGTACTCTGTACTGAGATTATTCTGTATCTAATGGAACAATAATCGTTTTTGACGTAACTTCACTAATGTTATTATGGAAGAATTATATTAGAAATTTCCACATTTGACGTTTGATTTTAAAGATGATTGATTTTGATTTTATGTGAAAATAAGCCAAGCAGGGTTAGAAAATATACATTTAGTAATGTTTACACACTTCATTTTATGATTCTAAACAGAACATTAAAAGATATATTTAAACGTAGAACATAACATGAGTCTTCGAGTAATATATTGTTGCAATTTTTCCAATTTTTTCTGAATAATTTCCACTGTTTGAATTTTTTCGTAATTTTACCTAACGCTAATCACTTAACAGATTCTCCTTAAAGTTATTGGCTCATTTTGCCAAGGTTATGTGTTTTAAAAACGTCTCAGAATAATATGCAAGCAATTAAATGTTACAGCAAATACATCATAAAAAATTTAATGGATAAGGAAATCTGTTTACTTTTATTGCACATAAGTACCGTAGTTGTAAAATAAGCGCCATGTACTAAAATGCATTAACATACCTAAATTGACGGTGTACGCAGACTTTCCTTTCTGGTACATAAAGTCTCGGCCCAACTTAACTCCAGTAATATCTGTAATGATGTAGGTATAATAAAATATATTTTACTATCATATACCTTTATTTATCTTCAAGATGTTGCTGTGAGACTGCACAATTTTTATAGGAAGATAAAGGATTTTCTATTGCGGACACTCTGCATAACTTCACATTGAACGACGAAATTGGTCAATGCATGCAGACTACTTTGTATAGAGTGTAGTTGATTGGGAAGCCTTGCCCTAACACAGGAGGCCCAGGTCTATCCTACACAAGTTATTCCATATCATTTGCTTTCTTTTAACTATATAATATAACTATATAATGCATATTGAACAAGGTTTGTTCACTCTTCGAAGACGTAAGTAGAATCCGAGCCCTTAAAAACGGTGGCGGAGAGCTCCTTCAAATGTACGACATCAGCAAGGTTCACCAAGTGGTCAAACCTACTTAACCCATCCATGCCGTCATGGACAGAACATCAATCAGTAACTCGCACAAAAATTTCATTACTTTTCCAGTCGTAATACTGTGTGTAGTACCGTAGTATTGACTCAATATGAAATGTTCAGTGTAAATCATTGAACTTTGTGACTAAGTTGTTGATATTTCTCTATGATGGAGAAGCAGTACGCGACAACTGCATATAAAGCGTCTGAATCGCACCATAAAGCCCGTACTTGTTTATTTTGAGATCCATTAGCGAAAGTTAATCCCGTATTATCATTTCTGATATTTAATTTTACAATTAACGCCGTTACTGTCTGCGAACGGGTTAAATAGCTATTGGATTTCTTGATTTATTATCTCAAAACAAATCTCTAGTGACACACTAAAATCTCGACTGGACAACTACACATGTTTTACATCGCAGACTAGTATAATCATAATGGTCGGTGTTCAGTAGGTATGGTATTTGTTTAATGTTATTTTTTATGACACTAAGTGACAGGACAAGTAAGTCGTGCGCCTGGTGTTAAGCGACACGCCTGTCCAAAGCAGTTGTAATGCCACTCAGAGAGCTTCAAATCGCAAAAATCTAAAGGGACACTGCCACTGCGCCTGTTACCCTGAGACATAAGTTGAAAAGTCCCATGTGCCTGTAACCACCAGCGTTTAAAACTATCATTAATGCTTCAAATAATGTACTGTGTTGAGCGTGTATGAGGAAGTGTGTGCGTGTGTGTGTTCAATAGCCAAGTATTATAAGAGAATTGCAATAAGATTTATAAGAACAGTGATATAAACCGTGTCCTAAAGGTGTTCCAGATGCAGTAATGAAACTTACGTGATACTTACTTTTCAGAATCGTCCATTTCTGTCGTCGTTTGAAATAATTGCGTTTAAGTTTCAACCAATCCGACCAAGTTTTTGACGCTTCATTTGCCGTGGTAATTCTGGACACAGTTGGTGACTTTCTAATTTGAGAATACTTTACAAATATATAATATTGTAACGTGATAGCTAATAAAAAAAGTAATAGATAGCATATGGAAACACTTATTTGCAATGAACAATTACTGAAGCGTAATTTTGTACGTTTGTATTTATGAATGTTTTTTAAGGCGAACATTGTGCCACAAAATGT